ATTTCATGAAACCTGGTGCCAATTTCAATCCCATCTGCTGTTACAGGACAAAGCTCTTCTTGTCCCTTTCTTGACTAATTTCTCCCGTTGAGTGTATCAATTAGGACTGTGTTTGACAAATAGAGAACACTGGAGAAGCAGTGGGTGGCATAAGCAAGTTGGGGGATTTTTTGCTCCTACGACCAAGAGAATGCAGAGGTGTGCAGCCTAGGACAATGCTGTTGGGGACCTCATTCTTTCTATCTGGCTGTCATCCGTAGCATAAGCCTTTCATCCTCAAAGATGCAAGGTGACCTCTGCAGCTCCTCATAAGATATTACCTTCACACTCAGGCCCATATTCTTCAGGAACTTCTTTGTCTCCATGTAGTTATCCAGAAGGGAGCCATTGGTTGTTAGAAGAGAATGTGGGAGAAATCAAAGTTTTGGGCAGATGGCTCCCAAGGCAAGATTAAGGGTGTATTTAATGAGGTGGAGGAGGGAGAGTTACTGGGGAGACAAATACGGTGTCTTCCTCGAGTTGACAAACAGTGCATTTGTTTTGCTTGTTTTTCTCAACCTGAATGGTGTGGACATTTGAGGAGCTGAAATTTCAAGGACAGAATCAAGCCTCCTCTATTCTATCCTACACCTGTTCGGTCCCATTGAGTCCATTTCTGACAGAACAGAACTGCTCCATAGGGGTTTTGTGGCTTGGTCAAACCCAAAGGCATTTACAAAATCTGTTGAGATGGCGTATGCTCTCTTGGCCAGTGGCAAAAATGCTCAGCTGTTAACTGGAACATCAGTGGTTTCAACCAAGAGGATCTGATAGCCCAACTCCCCACCTGTTCACCATGGGAAATCCCTGTCACCCACACACCTCCCTTTATTCCCCGTCAGGTGAAGAACACAAGCAACACCAAGATACCACCTATACTAAGCTCCGACATTAGCTGTAGGAGGGCACTATTCAGTTATTGGAAAGGTCTTAGGCCCCAAAGCCGGCCTTGCTGCTGTAGTCAGACACTGCAGGTGACAGAACAGCTGTCCATGACTTCTTGTCTGAGTTTCTGTGGGTTTGGGCCTCTCAATGATTGAGTGTTCAGCCCCTTCTAAGAACCTTACCTGTGGCAGAGATTGGGATTGTATGGGAAAGTATATTTAAAATCTATCCCATATTTTTTTCTTTTTGACTTGCTCAGAGAAACAACAAGACAATGTGTCAAATAAAAAGCATCATCACTGTTGAAAGTTTCTGTTCACATATGAAAGGGGGGGGAAGGTAAATACCAGGAAGGTTCCAGAAATTGATGCCTGACACCAAGTGATAACATCTACAAGAATTTATCCTACGCAAGAGTCCTTCTTATGCTTCCAGTGTCCTGATTTAAACGGTTTAGAATTTAAATGTAGGCTATTCTTTAGCATAGCTTCCCTAACGCCTATGAGAAAATATGACTTGGGGTGTCTTAATGCATTGCCTTTCTGTGTATAATAAACTGTAATTGTAACCAACCTGATAAATGCCCTCTATTATTTACACAGATGTAACTCTATATAAATGGGGAAGTATTTAGATGTGGTCTCACAGTTTCTATATTAAGAACCTGATTTAGTGGAAAATTCTTTATGCCTTTCCTATATCCTGTTAAAATTGTTCATATGATACTTTCTCTTTCAATTCCTTTTTGTTGGCCATTTTCAATTTATAGCTTATATATTCATTTTCCAATATGTTACTTTTTATGCAAATCCATAGCCCAGTTCTTCTCAGACACATAAAGATAGTGGTGAAATTTGTTGTCTGCTTTATGTTTATGCATTTACCAAACCCATTGCCTCCAGTCAGCTGCAACTCCTATAGACCCGATGGAAGGGAGTAGACTTGCTTCACAGAACTATCAAAGCTGTGAGTTTTATTTTCATTTTAGTTTTTTAAAATCATTTTATTAGGGGCTCATACAACTCTTATCACAATCCATACATACATCAATTGTGTAAAGCACA